CTCGGCTCGGCTCGGCTCGGCTGGACGACACGTCGGACAGAGGGTTCTCTCGGCGCCCCGCAGCCCCGGCGGCCCCGGGATGGAGCTCGGCGCGGCGCGACTGCTGGCGGTCCTGCTATGCCTAGCTCCCGGTAAGCCCTCGGGGAGCCGCCGGGGTCCGGGACCCCGAGGAGAGGGGGCGCGGGGATGCCCGGGTGCCGCGGGTGCGGCTTTCCTGTGGGTTTGTCGGGGCTGCTTGAGTGCGAGTCTCCGTGTGGGACGGGACGCCCGTGGCTGCGGGCTTGCTGACCCCTCCTGTCCTGTCCGCTTGGCCTCTCCTGTCCGGCCGGCGGGGGCTGGCCCGTCGGAGCGGGCTGCCTGTCCTGGCATGGTGTCCCGCTCGCTTGGCTCCAGCATCAGCTGTCGTTTCCGAGAGCAGAATGTCCCTGGAGCCAAGCGCGGGAAACCTGTCATCAGCGAAGAACCTGCTCGGAATGCAAGTGATTAAAGCACGGGGAAATGCTAGCGAAATAGGGAATGTCCCGGTCTGGCCACGCTCTCTTGTTGCCCGCTGAAGCCGGCCGAGCTGTCACGGCTGGGGCTGCGGCTCAGCCCGGTGAGGCGGGATTCCTGGAGATGATGGCAGCAGCTAGGGCGGACTGAAAATCTCTCCCTGTGGTATTCCCAAATGTTGCACAAGCCGGGCTGGTGCCTCAGAGCAAGCACCGGCACCCAGATCACAGCCCTGACAAGCGCCGGTGGCTGCGGGTGGGTGCGATGCGAGCCGCTGTGCCGATGGTCCGGTAGCAATACAGTTTTGCCTAACTGCTTAGGAGGAAAGAGATAAACTTAGAAAATCATGGCGCAAAATAAGTTCATGGGATCTCAAATTGGTGACAAAGTATAAAATAGTTTCTTTGCGTAATTCATTGATCAGTAGTCTCAAAGAAGTATATTCAATTTATTATAAGAAAAGTTGGTAATCCCCAAGGGAGTGAGATCATCAGATGAAGGTTCACTTCGTTTCAATGTCCCACATCCTCTTGTTAGACCTTGAAGTTGGCAATGCAAGAAAACAGGAACTCCACCCTGGCTGGCTGAATTGTAGTTCTCTGCAGCTAGCTCCTGACCATCTGCCTTTGCTTCCTGTTATGACAGGATTTTTTAACTTTTTGGGATGTGTGAAAAATCATGATTTACCCTTCGCTGCTAAATAGGTGATGTGAAAGTGTCCACTTAAAACCTGCTGCATATCCCTGTATATAATACTTTTCTGACAGAGTAGCATTTTCTTTGTTTATTTGGTTTATTTGAGGGATTTCATATATGTTTTTGCAGGTTTATTTATTTCTCTGGATCAGCCAACCCTTAGCATCCAAAAAGATGTCCTCACAATAATGGCAAACAACACACTAAATATTACTTGCAGGTAAGGACACGTCTGTTCAGTATGATTTTGATGATTGGTAATTTATGTAGTGAGTTTTTGTACAGAATCACAGGTGATGTGATCTCTCTCCTGTCATGACTCCTGTTTACTCCCTGCTCCCTCTGTGCCTTCTGCCTTACTTTTCCCTGACAAGTTTTAGAAATTATGTGGGAGGGGTTGCAGCAGGAGAGGGCTGGGGAATGTAGGGTGGCTGGGAGGAGGAAGCATTGGCTGTGGCCTTGTGGATCCTCTCAGCGCTCTCTTTTGGGTGCTTTGCCACTTAGATTCAACAGAATGTAAATCTCAAGTAGCTTTCTTGTAGCTGTTAAAAGTAGTTTGTGTGTGAATTTGTCCTACATGGTTTGACGCTCTCTCTGTGTGAGGGGGTGAAGCCCATCCCCGTCCTTAGCCACAGAGACTGCTGGGGCTGGGGTTCCTATCAGAAGCATCTGCTCCTCTAACATTTGCTTTCCCAGCGGTCAGAGACCACTGGAGTGGTCGTGGCCAAGCAAGCAGAGCAATGCTGAGAGGCGTATCTCCGTGACAGACTGCAGTGATGGCCCCTACTGCAAGACACTTACTCTAAGCAAAGTCATTGGCAATGACACAGGGGACTACAAGTGCCTTTACAGGGACAACCAGGCAGCTACAACCATTTATGTTTATGTCCAAGGTAAGTGCTTACACAGGTGTCTCTTTCCCTAGCGTCAGGAGAAGGAAGGAATATCAAGTGTCTCAAAACAGTTTTGATGCTAAAATTTATTAACTCTCGAATTTTTGATGCTATGAAACATTTTTCTTGTTTTCATGTTGAGTAATTAAATTCAGGTATGCGAGCTGTCATCAACACAAAAGCCTTTGTACCTATAATTCTGAACTGACCTGCCATATGCAGTATGTGGTTTACTGTTCTCCACCCAGAATTGAGCATACTGATACATATCTCTGATGAACTCTGAGCTTGTCCTCATGACTGCAGAGCTATTACTGACCCCAGGAGGAGCTTCATATGAGAGAAGATTACAGAGATTTTATATTTGTTAAAAACTACATAACTGATAAACTGTACGATTTGTACTGATATCATTAAAAAAACCCAAAAAACACCCAAACCCCAAAACATGAACTTCCATACATTTGCTGACTCTGGTGGTGAAATCTATGCAGGCTGTAAGAACTCAGTTTTCAAACTTGGGCTGTCAGCAGCGCAGCTGAGTGTCTCAAACACTGCAAAGCCTCCAGTTATACACTCAGCTTCAGTAAGTGCATTCATTGAGGCATCTGCCTTTTTGCACTGATGGCTTCACCCTCGTTTCCATATGCATCCTGTTTCCTCTTTATTGTTAACTTATAGTTACCATTTTGAGAAATGAGATGTAATTGAGTGCATGACTTAGCTTGTTTTATAAAATCATGGACCTATTTTGATCTGACTTTGAAAAGGATGCTGCCCATCAGGGGAGTCAGTGTAACATGTCACAACTTTTAACTGATATTTCCTGTAACACTTATGCAAGGAAAGTCACACACAGGTTAAATCAGTTTTTTGTCAGCAAAAGGACTGTTTCAGCAGGAAGCCATTCTCCAAAGTGCACAATGCTGCTGCTAACTGTTTTGAGAATAATGATATTCTAAACCTGAGGTGTCTATAAAACATGCACCTCCCCTATTTAGTCTCATTATTTCATTGCTTTATGATATGGAAAATAATAAAACTGACTTGTGAAAAAATAGACAGGGAAAGAACAAAACTGGAAAATCACGTGATGAATAATACCCACTTATCAATTGAATATTATTCTAGATTACAGATCACCATTTGTGACTTCAGTTAGTGATCAGCTTGGCATTGTATACATCACTAAGAACAAAACTGTGGTAGTGCCGTGCCTTGGAACCGTATCAAATCTCAATGTATCTCTACATGCGGTAAGGAAGAAGCCTGTTATTTTTTCAAGAGTTAGTTGTAATCACTGTGGCATAAATATGTTGTTTGAAGTATAAACACATTTCTTAAAAACTTCTTTCTGTTGTTGTGAGTTTTGTAGCCTGTGATTACAAGATGTACCTGTACTCATCTATGGCACTGAGCTCTCAGAGCATGTACTAATTCCTGGGCTGGGATGCTGAAATGGGGCCCTGCAGTTGTGGAAAGTGCTGGGGATGACTTCAATTCAGGGTTGTTTGATTTTTGAAATCTGACTTTGTGTTTTATCAATATTCCAAACAGAAATATCCAGAAAAGATATTTGTTCCTGATGGTAAATCCATTTCATGGAATAATAAAAAAGGCTTCACTATACCCAGTCATTTAATCAACTACGCAGGCATGGTCTTCTGCGAAGCTAAAATAGATGATGAAAGCTACC